GCTGAGCTGCTGTTGTGGGCCAAGGGTATGTCTGTATCTTGTCAAAAATAGCTTCTGAGATGACTCATCTAATCCGACCAGACCACTCCCAAAAATTTGACTGACAGCCCAGGTCCTTGCACTTTGGCTGTGTTCATGGCCCACCTATATTGTTCCAAATGACTTAGCAGCGTTGGAGCTGCCTGGGTTAAATCTGTAAGAGAATCAGAGGTTAGTAACACATCATCAATGTAGTGAAACATTGTAACCATGCTGGGCCTAGCCCACTTGGCTAGGTCCCCAGCCACAGAACCATGACAGATCACTGGGCTTTGCAGGTAACCTTGGGGCAACACTTGAAATGTCCACTGCCTCCCTTCCCAGGTGAAGGCAAACTGATCTTGGCTATCAGCTGAGGTTGGAATAGAGAAAAAAGCATTTGCTAGGTCCAATACATGATAAATTCCCAGCTGAGTTATCAGCTGATCCATCAAGTCATGAATTGAAGGCACGGCTGCATGCAAAGGAGGCTCTACTTTGTTTAGTTCTCGATAGACTATAGTCACTCTCCAGGTATCATCAGGTTTGTCACTGGTCGTACCAGAGCATTAAATGGGCTATAAGCCAGATGAATAATGCCAACTTTCTCTAACTCCAATATAGTGGCACTTATGTCTGCATGTCCTCCTGGTAGGCAATACTGCTTTACATTAACTACATGTCTTGGCTTGGGTAACACCCGTGGGTCATGTTTAACATATCCCTGTAACACAGGCTTTACAGTCCGTATTCGCAGCCAAAAACTCTCCAGCTGTTGTTTGCAGGTTGCAAACCATAAAGTACATCCATACCCAAGATGTATTCAGTGACTGGGGATATACATATACAGTATATACATGAGGGGGGCAATTGTCCTATGCCCAATGGCAATGACACAGCTTTGACTCCAATAGTATGTCCTCCATAGCTCTCTACATGAACTGTGGCCCCTGGAAATTTATCTGGATTGCCACATATCAGGCTACATTCTGCACCTGTATCCCCCAACGCCAATACATGCTGCACATTTGTCCTTGACCAATGTATTGTCAGTTCAACATGAGGCCTTCAGTCCTCGCCTGCCCCCAAAAGACGAGCACCTTGGCCTGCTCCCTAATCAAATTGGAACAGTTCATCTGCCTCCTTGGGAGCACCAAAAAATCCTTTAAATCCACTGGGCATACCTTGCTACCTGTTTCTGGACATTTAGTGAAATGCTGTTCTGGGCATAATTGCTGCCACAAGGCAAACAGGACCTCATTTGGCTGCTGGTCAGTTTTCTTGCTATTAAACCCTGCTGCAAGCAAGTCAAGCCACATCTACTTATGGCTGGTCTTGCTTGGTCCCTTCAGGATAAAATCCCGAGCATTTCTTGGGGGTTTGGTCATAGCCACCTTTCGGACCCCTTTTGCTTGTCTCCTCTCCTCTACTTCACCCAGACTGGCTATCATGGTCATTACTTTATGTATAGGACGACCAATGTATGGGGCCAGTATGGCCATCGGTCACCCAAAGGATGATGACAGGGCATTTTGCAGCACTGTATCTCTCATGCTGCCTGTAAAACATTGTCTGGGCCACGGTGTTCACATTAAACAGACTGCTGCCTCCTCAGCTCCTGAATTATTTGAACCAACTCGGCATGTGTTTGCCATTCACTCACAATTTGGGGCAGCTCTCCAGCATTTGCCCACATGGTTCGGACAGCTGCATTCACCCAATCAGTTAAGGAGTGATTACCTGGCCCTTGTGCATACCTGTGGCTATTCTGTAGCTGCTGCCTCAAGGACGGGTGCATGGTAATGGAGGCCAATCTTTCCGTCTCCTCACCAGAGCATATTGCACTATCCACCCCTAGGTCCCATAACCGCAGCAGCCAGGGGCTCCCTGTTTCTGCTGGAACTGTCTCCAGAAGTCAACTAATTCAACCTGGGTATAGGGGACATAGGTGGTGAGTTGGGTCACCAGTGGATTGCCCACCGGTTGTCTGCCTGGTCCCATCGGCTGCTCGTACTTCATTTTCTGATGCACAACAGGTCATGCCTGGAGATGCATCGTCTCCCCCAACTCACCACTTGGTTTGTCATCCTCCCTGGTGTGAAAAGCAGGGATTGCCAGTCGCTGCACATCATCCTCCAGGATGATTATCCGTGCTTCCAACTCTGCTTTCTGCTGCAAATCTTGATCAGCTTGCAGTGTAGTGAGTAGTAGCCAGACTCTGGTCATCAGAAAAGTGGCCACTGGGCACCATATACTCAAGGACAGCCACATTTCCTCCTCCTCCCAAGGGGCTATTAGCTCTTGTACGTGCTCAGAATCCTGCCAACTATGCTGATTGTAAAGGTAGGGCTAGGGCTTACTGACCCCTCAAGCCCATTGTACAGACTGGGACACAAACCCTTCACACACAGGTCTACGAGCTGGGAAATAGGAAAAAGTCCTGGGAGCCATGGGTAAAAAATTATTAGGCTCTATTCAGAGCTAGAAGCAGCCACCCTAGCGGCCTCCTGGAGCGTCCTGAGAAGCACCGTGTATCAGAGCTTTTAGTCCTTTATACCTAAGTCCACAACCCAGGACACCTGGGTGCACAAGAGCAATTACAATAGACAATAACCAAGGAACACCTGGGCATACGTGCATATTTACATCAAATGCTCAGCAAAATCCTGAACATCTGAGGGGTCCTGACCATTTTCCTATATTTTCCAAACATGTGGGGTTGAAATGCATGTACTTTTTCAAGTATATAAATTTTCACTCTCCTCACTTTATTCATAATCTCATCATTTTCACACGTCAGTGAGTTAACCAAACTCAAGGCCTTCTTTACTAAAAGAACTGGCACAGTTCTATTTGCCAAGGGCAATATCCTTAAAACTTAATGAATAATAACTGATAGGTCAGGCAGTATCCTTCAGACAGCTCCTTTGAAAGCACTCTAAACAGCCATTTCCATTTTGATTGCTGGGTGAGGATTGTAACCTTCAATATGAAAATCTTCGGCTTTGAAATCATCAATGGTCTCAACTTTTCGAAGAATTTTGAGCTTCGGGAAAGGTCTTGGTTCTCGCTGAAGCTAAAAACAAAAAATAAGACCATTATTTTGCCGTATTTGTACTGCCTGTTCTAATTTTGCTCGCCATGTCACTTCATGAAACAGACTATCTCATCAACAAAGTTATTTTACAGGGTGGACTGCTATAGAAACCTTGTCCCTGGTCACATAACACTGGTGGAGTATCACCAACTGGTTTTCCACACAGATCAAGAGTGAAGGGTATTTTGTTACATTACACAGTGTCAGGAGCCTGGTGGTGGCTCGTCAGGTATAAATTTTTGTAATCACTTGGTAAATTTATTAAAGACAACGCCATAGTCTTTATTTTTCAATCTGTAACTTATAGCAGCACTCAGAATGGTTACTTGAGTTCCATAATCCCTATCTCTAGTGTCTCTGGCAGAAGAGGAAGGGAAGATGATAGCTTTTAAGAGTGAACAGAAAGGGATGCAAGCCAGGATTCCTGAGACAAACAGATAGTGGCAATTAGGATGTGGACACAGATCACAACCTCACGTTATTGTGTCCAACATGACTGGAGCAGACAGCCACAGAGAAGTATCTGAATAAGTCTCAAGCTACCTTGTACTCAAAAGCAGCCAAGCCCCCTCAAAGGAGTAACTTTTTAAAATCACATTTAATCTGGAAAGGGCTAAAAGACTTTTGGTTCTAAATCTTTTTATCATGGGGCTCATGAAACACAGATACTTATATATTTGCCATTTCAAATCATCTGTTGACTGCTATAACCCAAGGATTTGAAAAGACAGACTTTGGAAAGTTCAGACCTAAATATCATATTTAGCATAAAATTAAGGAAAAACATTTGCATTTCAATTCTCCTTCAAGCAAAAATACAAGTTAAAATGCCACGTCTGGGATGGTCCCAAACGTGGCTCTTCCTCTCTGGTACTGGTGCTTAGTACCTTACAGCACCTGACATGTTAAGTGCCTGTGGTCATTCAGGCAGGTGTCTTGCCCATGCGCTCACCGCCCTTCCTTCAATTTAAAGACCCACAGTTGGAGCAGTCATCTTTATCTCAGACATAGCAATGAGTAGAATGCTTGTTGCATAAGGGATGTTCCAGAGATCAACCTGTTATCAAGAGAAGGTACCAAACCCAAGTGTAACAAGTATAATTCTCACCTGAATTTTCAGTGGCATTCTCACCTGAATTTTCAGCGGTTCGATGTGATTCAGGTAAATATGTGCATCTCCCAAAGTATGTACAAAGTCACCTGGCTAAATAAACCCCATGGGAGAAAGCAAAACAGTCAGTTTTAATTCCATTACCCTAAAATACATCATTTAAAAGCACATTATACAGAGTATGCAGATACCCCCAGTCTTTTGTGGACTAGTCACAAAGAACTTTGTGTCTAATGATTGGTGCTGTTACACAAATAATAATAATAATTAGCATTTATGTAGCCTTTATTATGTGTTAGATACTGCTCTAAGCACTTTAGTTTTTATTCTCAAAACAATCATGAGATAGATATTATTATCCCCATTTTACAGATGAGGAAACTAAGGCTTAGGTACATGGTTCACAGAGTTAGGAAGTGACGAAGTCAAAACTTGAACCTAGAGCCCCCAAATTTAACAACTTCACTATACTGTCTCTTTTCACAAACTTGTTTTTTCACTTACTAAATATACATAATAATTTATGTCAACTGAATTATTAACTAATTTTTTTGATTCCGTAATAACTTCGTATAGCATACATTATACGAAGTTATACGAAAGTTGTATTATAAGCAACTCACATAGGCTGGCTGTTAGCTCAGTTAGAGCACGGTGTTGCTAACACCAAGGTCCAGGGTTCAGATCCCTGGACTGGCCAGCTGCCCACACCCCTCCAAAAACCAAAAAACAATCCCACAATAACCTATATACACCTGTTGTTTATACAGACCAGAAGGATAGAAAGCTCCATGAAAAGTTACAAAGTGAGCCGGTTAATGTTTTATTTACACGCATCAAACTTTAAAACACTGAATTCTCTGCAGCTAATTTCCGTAGGTTAAAGACTCAGAAATCAGGGCATCAGGCTGGCAACAGCCCTTCCCTCCAAGAGCAGCCCACCTTCAGGCCTGTGACGTGCGCGATCATGTACGTGAGAAGCGCATAGCTGGCGATGTTGAAAGGCACGCCGAGGCCCATGTCTCCTGACCTCTGGTACAGCTGGCAGGACAGCTCACCGTTCACCACGTAGAACTGGCAGAGGGCATGGCACGGAGGCAGCACCATCAGAGGGAGATCTAAGGACCCAGCATGGAGGAAAATGAGGAGGGGTGGCAGTTTGAAAGAACTCAGCTATAGCCAAAGTAAAACAGGAGACAAACGGAAGCTAACTCATATGGTTTGGACCTTGAGGAAGAGCGACTGAGCGCAGAACCTCATGACCCTCAACTTCCTGGCACATCAAAAGCAGCTCATTCCCTCCACCCCCGCAGCGATGATATGAAGCTGAGACCTGTCTTTCCACCGGCATGAGATTTCTGCAGATGTACATTTACAAGTGAGGCAATGCTCTTCCATTCAAGCTGAAATTAAGGATTTGTGCAACCTTCCTGGCACCAAACTACAAATGCAGAAGGAATTATTTCATTTGCAGGGACCACAGGAAACTGGCATTTCAGGCACACCGTCCTGTATTGTCTTTATTGTAGATGCAAATATTCCACTCTGGGTACTTATTACACCCTGGTAAGAGTTCAGTTTTACAATATAATTGTTAAAAGTGTTAACATGAGTTGGAGGTAACCTGAAACTTCATCTGCTCCAATTTAAAATGTTAAAACTCTACATGTAATTTTATAGGCAATTTAAGGGCTCTTTTCAGAGTAAGAATGAGTATAAATATACACAGATTAACGTCTTCTGGGCCCAGCTCCATGACCTGAAGGTGAAAATGGGATGAATTGCGAACATCTGGGGGTCACACAACCAACCGTGCAGCTGGGGGCAGTACCCAGGTCCTGCCACCCTGTGGTGCCTCTGCACAATGCCACATTGCTTCCCTTTGTGCCAACGGTACAGCTAGTGCCAAAGAGAAAGACTGGGATGCTTTCAACCTTTTGGATTCCAAGCACAC